AATGACTGGTGGGGAAAACATATTAGGATGCAATCACAAGTCATATGTAACTGTTTTAAGAGCTTGACAACTTGCCCGCAGTTGGTACTCCTCGTTAGGTTGAAAGATCTGTTGTAATCCTTTGATTATCTATCAGCACAGAGACGTTGGCATTACTCCCAAAGTAACGCTACTTAAAAAAATCTAAGGTTCGTACCCTGAGTTATTTCCGTTTTATTAAGATTAGTTGCATTTTCAAATATGGGCTACTAGGCTAATGGTACTGGCCATATTTATCATGGATTTTAAGTTATTTTTCCTGCCGTATCCATCACGTACTTGAAATTTCCCGTTTGAGGTCCCTCCGGTTGGTCATTATTGCAGCGCTGTTTACGTTTCCTGGTCAGAAAAATATACTTGAGCATCATATGGTGGTGCTAAAAATGGTTTTTCTAAAATTTGATGATGAAAAGGGAGAAAGTCATGCAGTTATCTACATGGTAAATCAGCCCATATTAGCATAGGACGAGCGACCCGTTGCCATTCTCAGGGTGTTGCGATGACAGATTAGAGCTGAAAAAATTTACATGTGAACTGTTGTCTGTCTGTAATCTCGTTCACAATCAGCATTCCAAGTCCGTTTTTGCGTCTTTCAACACTCATCGTTTATAATGATACTGTAACTTTTTGCCCAATCTTGATTGTATAATAATGTGCGATAAAGCTGAACTGATAAGGCTTCAAACAACAAATCTTCCGGATCCAGAAAATATTCCCGAATGATTTGGTTGAAAAGCTAAAACTGCAGAACACTGTCTAAACCCGTGAGTAAAATTAGTGTTAGTGTTATACCAAGAATATCAAGACAGCACGGACAAGCAGTGTGGCGATTCTATGCCGGTGATGGTACTTAATTTCAAATATGCAAAGCCTTCATCCTAAAGAAGTAATAAATATACAAAAATATGCATATGACTGAATACAACACTTAGTCTAAATAAACATTGCTACTGAAACATTAGAAAACGCCTCATTTAGGTAACTGTGAGTGCAGTAATAACAGTTATTATCTTCAAATTGGGGGCTTTAATTCAGTTAATTAATTCACTTAGAAACTATTCTTGACAGAATTACTACTAAAGCAGTAAATGCATAAAATCTTGGCTGGAGAAGCAAAGAA